AGTGTTGTGCCGTCATGTGTACTCTGCCAGTATTGTGTCATGCTGTACTCTGCCAGTATTGTCATGCTGTACTCTGCCAGTATTGTGTCATGCTGTACTCTGCCAGTATTGTGTCATGCTGTACTCTGCCAGTATTGTGTCATGCTGTACTCTGCCAGTATTGTGTCATGCTGTACTCTGCCAGTATTGTCATGCTGTACTCTGCAGTATTGTCATGCTGTACTCTTCCAGTATTGTGTCATGCTGTACTCTGCCAATATTGTGTCATGCTGTACTCTGCAGTATTGTGTCATGCTGTACTCTGCCAGTATTGTGTCATGCCAGTATTGTGTCATGCTGTACTATGCCAGTGTTGTGTCATGCTGTACTCTGCCAGTATTGTGTCATGCTGTACTCTGCCAGTATTGTCATGCTGTACTCTGCCAGTATTGTGTCATGCTGTACTCTGCCAGTATTGTGTCATGCTGTACTCTGCCAGTATTGTGTCATGCTGTACTCTGCCAGTATTGTGTCATGCTGTACTCTGCCAGTATTGTGTCATGCTGTACTCTGCCAGTATTGTCATGCTGTACTCTGCCAGTATTGTGTCATGCTGGAGTGCTCTGTCTGTGCCGTGATGCAGTGCACTGTCCGTATTGTGTCTAAGCTGCCTCATGCAGTGCCATGTCTGTACTTTCATGCAATGGTATGTCTAAACTGCTTTATGCAGTTCGCTGTCTGTTCAGTCATTCTATGCCATTTGTACTGTCATGCAGTGCCATGTTAGTGTTATCATGCAGCAATATGTGTAAACTGCTTTATGCTTTCCCCGTCTGTGCCATCATGCTCTCCCTTGTTTCTGTCATACTCTGCCTTATTCCTACTATCATCCTGTGCCCTGTGCCGTCACCTCGTCATGACTCCTGAGTAGAAAAAAAACATGCGTGACAGTCATTTGTTTTACATTTATGAATGGGAGTATGGTCATTAACAATTCACAAGAAACTGTCCTCAATATGTAAAACATTCACAAGACATTTGAACCGACAGCATTTTCTCCCTGTAAACATTTAGTGCCTGCAAGTTGTTTGAGGTCAGGGTGTGTTAAACCCCCTAGCCCTGCTCCAGGAAAAGGTTGATGACACAGTTAGGACGGCCATATCTTCTCCCCTGTAGTCTGATGGCAGGAGAGAGAATCCAAACAGCTTTATTGATCAGGCACATGATCCACTTCTGGAAGTAGATTCACCCTGTCCTTGGAGACTTTATCTCATTTTTGCAAGCACAGTAATTATCTCACCAGGAATATGGCCATGTATGTTTAGATGAAATTTGAAATCGCTATTGATTGTCAGTGAACTGGTAAGACCATTGTGAATTGTAAACGTAAAGTAAGTTAATTTTTTATGTCAAATTTATTTGCCTGTCTTAAGACGTGTAGAAGTATGCTACATAATAAAAAATATGTGTTATATGGTATATATTAGAATTGATTATTATATTAGAGAAAAATAAGCATCCATGATCATTGGAGTTTTTAGAGGGTTTTTTCAACTAGGTAATGTCTGTTTAAATATCAATATTTTGACAGAGCGTATTGTACTTAAACATTCTGTAAGCTTGTATTGTGTAAGTTCACTATGAATCACCAAAGTGAATCATGTTTGATCAGAAACACAAAAGACATGTTTCTACACTGAGACTGGGGAAATCAATGGAAACATAAACAATTTATACACATAAAACTAAATGTCAAGCAAATGATAACCCAGGCATTTGCCAAGGACAGACTCAGACCTGGAACAGATCTGGAGCACAGTTGTATATATCATTGCCAGAACATGCTCAACATAAACACACTACACTAAGCACTGCTGTATGTGGTGGGTGGACAGTACCATATATGGTGGTGGACACTGGACAGTACCATATATGGTGGTGGACACTGGACAGTACCATATATGGAGGTGGACTGGACACAGTTATATATGGTGGTGGACACTGAACAGTACCATATATGGTGGACACTGTACACTAAGCACTGCTGTAGGTGGTGGGTGGACAGTACCATATATGGTGGTGGACACTGGACAGTACCATATATGGTGGTGGACACTGGACAGTACCATATATGGTGGTGGACACTGGACAGTACCATATATGGTGGTGGACACTGGACAGTACCATATATGGTGGTGGACACTGGACAGTACCATATATGGTGGTGGACACTGGACAGTACCATATATGGTGGTGGACACTGGACAGTACATATAGACAGTACCATATATGGTGGTGGACACTGGACAGTACCATATATATGGTGGTGGGACACTGGACAGTACCATATATGGTGGTGGACACTGGACAGTACCATATATGGTGGTGGACACTGGACAGTACTATATGTGGTGGTGGACACTGGACAGTACCATATATGGTGGTGGACACTGGACAGTACCATATGTGGTGGTGGACACTGGACAGTACCATATATGTGGTGGTGGACACTGGACAGTACCATATGTGGTGGTGGACACTGGACAGTACCATATGTGGTGGTGGACAGTATACTATATGTGGTGGTGGACACTGGATGTGGTGGTGGACACTGGACAGTGGTGGTGTGACACTGGACACTGGTACCATATATGGTGGTGGTGGACACTGGTGGTGGACACTGGACAGTACCATATGTGGTGGTGGACACTGGACAGTACTATATGTGGTGGTGGACACTGGACAGTACCATATGTGGTGGTGGACACTGGACAGTACCATTTATGGTGGTGGACTGTCCTGTATATGAGTGAGTTTAGTTTTACGCCGCTTTTAGCAATATTCTAGCAATATCACGGGGGGAGACACCAGAAATGGGCTGCATAGACTGTACTCATGTGGGGAATGATCGAACCCGGATCTTCACTCTGATGAGCAAACACTTTGACCACTGGGCTACCCCACCGCCTTAGTCCTGTATGTGGAGGTTGAATGCTTCTGTATTTTTGACACAGTATACATTACAAGCTTGAGAAATGTGAAGGGTCTGCTTTCCTTATCGCGTGTACATTCTTCTGGTCTTGTAATACAGTCACAATAATATTGACTGATTTTTCAAGATAGGGGAATAATCATGGCATTTATGCCTTATTGAGGAAATTGATCACAAAGATAGATTTGTGTCCCAAGAAACATATCCCTCAGGACCGTCTGGATGAATGATATTTCAGCAGTGTCAGATAATGTTCGTGCTCTGTAAACAATCGTCCCAGCGAGCTAATCACAGATTGTAATGACCTCCTTGCAGCTCTATACTTGTGTAGCAAGTGAAGCAGTTCGACCGATCCATGGCAGAGCTACATCTCATGTGGCTCGTCAGTGATCGAGTGAGAACCAGCAATTTGGGCAACATAAACTCTTCAGTTGGTTTAAGTCTGTGGGGCTTTAAATACAGGACAGCTACAAGCTCTTGTGTGATGGCAATGACAGAAACCTGTGATCTATGGTTCGTTTCCTGGTTTGGCCCAATGAAGTTTCTAAATTTGTCTACAGCAGTTCCTACTCCTTTGATCTAATTAAGTTTATAAGTTTGTCAACACCATACCTGTGGTTACTTGTTTCACCAAAGTTGTAAACATGTGTGACTTCACCACTTAGACCTTTCCACCCACATTAATCTTTCAGGATGTGACACGTTCCCTCTATTGCCCAACCTTCGTTGAAGGTGTGCTGGGCACAGAAAGGACAGGCTCTTAACACGAGGAAGTTGTAGTTCACTGAGCAGATGTCAAGATGATGGTTATTTGTGTTGAGTTTGATCCTGACATCAATGCTGCAACACTGATCTGTTTCAATCTTGTTTTATAGTTCGGTAATATTGGTGGGAAAATAAGTGACCAATGTCTGTTAGCTTGAATCTTTGTTTCTGTTGTGTGAATGGTTCAATCTACTTACTTTTGTATATTTTGTTGCATGTGAACATGCATACTCTTACTTTATATATTCTGTTTTTGGTGAATGGTGCAATGTGCTTACCTCCTACTTTGTGTAAATAGTGAGCTCTGCTTCCTTCTATACATTTGGTGGCGCGGTGGGGTAGCCTAGTGGTTAAAGCATTCGCCTGTAACGCTAAAGATCCGGGTTCGATTGTCCACATTGGTACAATGTGTGAAGCCCATTTCCGGTGTCCCCCACCATGACTGAGTGTTGGAATATTGCTAAAAGAGGCGTAAAACTCAACTCACTCACTGATTCTATATATTCGGTGTACAGGAAAGAGGGAGCAGAAGCCAAGCAGCTCATTTCACACTCTTGGTTTTTCCAGTATTTTTCGTACAAAATCTAATTCAATAAAGTTGTTACAGATATAAAAAGGCCGACTTTTTCTTTTCAGTTGACATGATTGTATAATAGCAATGTGATGATTACTCAATTACTTCCAGCACATTGTGAAAGACAGAGCTGTAGTCAGTTTGACAGATAATCAATTCCTCCCGAGGCAGAAATCCTCTCCAATCCTCACTGCATGCTACACATGCTGTGCCATGTGCTGTAAGAGTTTCTTGAGATCTTTTCCAGAAGATGAACCGCTCTTAAGAAACTTGAGAATTGTTGTTACAAATGTTTAACTTGTCACAGATTCAGCTTTCCAAGACATTTCCAAGGTGATTTACAAAGATGAGATGTTTTGTGGAAGTCGGATGTTTTCACATCAGCATGGTCTTATTTCAAATCACATGCTTCAAACGTTTCATGCTTTGATAAGGTCACTGAATAATCAAACTGTAACATGTGTATATCTGCCAAATTTATTTTTATAATTATTTTATTTATATAGTTAAAGGTGTTTGACACTGTGTTTTGATCCAGTGAATATGGTTTAAGGTGTCTGGCACAGAGTGGTGGCCCAGTGAAAGTATAGGTGTCTGGCCCAGGGATGGTATGGGTGTTTGACACAGTATTGTGGCTCAGTGAAGGTATAGTTAGAGGAGTCTGGCACAGTATGGTGGCCCAGTGAAAGTATAGGTGTCTGGCCCAGGGATGGTATGGCTCAGTGAGGGTATAGTTAGAGGAGTCTGGCACAGTATGTTGGCCCAGTGAAAGTATAGGTGTCTGGCCCAGGGATGGTATGGGTGTTTGACACAGTATTGTGGCTCAGTGAAGGTATAGTTAGAGGAGTCTGGCACAGTATGGTGGCCCAGTGAAAGTATAGGTGTCTGGCCCAGGGATGGTATGGCTCAGTGAGGGTATAGTTAGAGGAGTCTGGCACAGTATGGTGGCCCAGTGACGGTATATAGGAATCTGACACCATGTTTCAGGAACATCCTACCAGTACGATGACGACTCCTCCAGTGACAGCGATGATGAGGTGCTAAAGCGTTATCAGGACACTCTCGCCACACACAGAGGCAGCATCCGCAGCAGCGTCCGGAGTGGGAAGAGTGCACGCAGCAGGAAGAGTCACAAGAGTAAGGCCGATGTAGCAACAGGTGATACTAATAATATTAATACTAACAATAATAATATTTTGTTTGTTTTATAACCTTTGCTTTAACCAAGGGGATGGTGGGGAAACCCAGTGGTTAAAAGCGTTTGCTCATCACGCAGAAGACCCGGGTTCGATTACCCACAATGGCACATGGGTACAATGTGTGAAGCCCATTTCTGGTGTCCCCTGCCGTAATATGGCTGGAATATTGCTAAAATCTGCATAAAACTGAACTCACTCATTCACTAACTAATGACCCGTGAAGATCCGGGTTAGAATAGGTCTTCAGCAACCCATGCTTGCCACAAAAGGCGACTATGCTTGTCGTAAGAGGTGACTAACGGGATCGGGTGGTCAGACTCACTTACTTGGTTGACACATGTCATCAGTTCCCAATTACGCAGATCGATGCTCATGCTGTTGATCACTGGATTGTCTGTTCCAGACTCGATTATTTACAGACCGGCGCCATATCGCTGGAATATTGCTGAGTGCGGCGTAAAACTAAACTCACTCACTCACTAACTTTAACCAAGTTTATGATCACTTGTAGAGTGACACACACATACACAACAATCATATGAAGTACCTTCATACTCTGTACTAGCACGCAAACAGACACATACACAGCAATCATATGATGTACCTTCATACTCTGCACTGGCACGCATGCACGCACATACACAGCAATCATATGAAGTACCCTCATACTCTGTACTGGCACGCAAACACACACATACACAGCAATCATATGAAGTACCTTCATACTCTGTACTGGCACGCATGCACATACACAGCAATCATATGAAGTACCTTCATACTCTGTACTGGCACGCATACATACACAGCAATCATATGAAGTACCTTCATACTCTGTACTGGCACGCATGCACATACACAGCAATCATATGAAGTACCTTCATACTCTGTACTGGCACGCATACACAGCAATCATATGAAGTACCTTCATACTCTGTACTGGCACGCACGACGCACATACACAGCAATCATATGAAGTACCTTCATACATTGTACTGTACTGGCACGCATACACATGCACATACACAGCAATCATATGAAGTACCTTCATACTCTGTACTGGCACGCATGCACACACATACACAGCAATCATATGAAGTACCTTCATACTCTGTACTGGCACTCACACACGCACACACATACACAGCAATCATATGAAGTACCTTCATACTCTGTACTGGCACGCACGCACGCACGCACATACACAGCAATCATATGATGTACCTTCATACTCTGTACTGGCACGCACATACACAGCAATCATATGATGTACCTTCATACTCTGTACTGGCACACACATACACAGCAATCATATGAAGTACCTTCATACTCTGTACTGGCACGCATGCACGCACATACACAGCAATCATATGAAGTACCTTCATACTCTGTACTGGCACGCACAACGCACACATACACAGCAATCATATGAAGTACCTTCATACTCTGTACTGGCACGCATGCACGCACATACACAGCAATCATATGAAGTACCTTCATACTCTGTACTGGCACGCATGCACGCACATACACAGCAATCATATGAAGTACCTTCATACTCTGTACTGGCACGCACATACACAGCAATCATATGAAGTACCTTCATACTCTGTACTGGCACGCACGCACATACACAGCAATCATATGAAGTACCTTCATACTCTGTACTGGCACGCACGCACATACACAGCAATCATATGAAGTACCTTCATACTCTGTACTGGCACGCATGCACACACATACACAGCAATCATATGAAGTACCTTCATACTCTGTACTGGCACACGCATGCACGCACACATACACAGCAATCATATGAAGTACCTTCATACTCTGTACTGGCACGCACACACGCACGCACTTACACAGCAATCATATGAAGTACCTTCATACTCTGTACTGGCACGCACACACGCACACACATACACAGCAATCATATGAAGTACCTTCATACTCTGTACTGGCACGCATGCACACACATACACAGCAATCATATGAAGTACCTTCATACTTTGTACTGGCACTACGCATGCACGCATAATATCACATACACAGCAATCATATGAAGTACCTTCATACTTTGTACTGGCACGCATGCACACATACACAGCAATCATATGAAGTACCTTCATACTCTGTACTGGCACGCATGCACACGCACATACACAGCAATCATATGAAGTACCTTCATACTTTGTACTGGCACGCGCATCACACACACAGCAATCATATGAAGTACCTTCATACTCTGTACTGGCACGCAATGCACACATACACAGCAATCATATGAAGTACCTTCATACTCTGTACTGGCACGCGCATATTATCATCAATATACACAGCAATCATATGAAGTACCTTCATACCTGTACTGGCAACGCATGCACATACACAGCAATCATATGAAGTACCTTCATACTCTGTACTGGCATGCACACACACATACACAGCAATCATATGAAGTACCTTCATACTCTGTACCTGGCACGCATGCACATACACAGCAATCATATGAAGTACCTTCATACTTTGTACTGGCATGCATACACATACACAGCAATCATATGAAGTACCTTCATACTCTGTACTGGCACGCATGCACATACACAGCAATCATATGAAGTACCTTCATACTCTGTACTGGCACGCACGCACATACACAGCAATCATATGAAGTACCTTCATACTCTGTACTGGCTGCAATGCGCACATACACAGCAATCATATGAAGTACCTTCATACTCTGTACTGGGCACGCATGCATACATACACAGCAATCATATGAAGTACCTTCATACTCTGTACTGGCACGCATGCACATACACAGCAATCATATGAAGTACCTTCATACTTTGTACTGGCACGCATGCACATACACAGCAATCATATGAAGTACCTTCATACTCTGTACTGGCACGCATGCACATACACAGCAATCATATGAAGTACCTTCATACTCTGTACTGGCACGCATGCATACATTGGCACATACAGCAATCATATGAAGTACCTTCATACTTGTACTTGTACTGGCACGCACATACACAGCAATCATATGAAGTACCTTCATACTCTGTACTACTGGCATGCACATACACAGCAATCATATGAAGTACCTTCATACTCTGTACTGGCACGCATACACATACACAGCAATCATATGAAGTACCTTCATACTCTGTACTGGCACGCATACACATACACAGCAATCATATGAAGTACCTTCATACTCTGTACTGGCACGCATTACACACATACACAGCAATCATATGAAGTACCTTCATACTCTGTACTGGCACGCACACATACACAGCAATCATATGAAGTACCTTCATACTCTGTACTGGCACATACACATGCAATCATACACAGCAATCATATGATGTACCTTCATACTCTGTACTGGCACGCATACACAGCAATCATATGAAGTACCTTCATACTCTGTACTGGCACGCATGCACATACACAGCAATCATATGAAGTACCTTCATACTCTGTACTGGCATACACGCACACACATACACAGCAATCATATGAAGTACCTTCATACTCTGTACTGGCACGCACATATCACGCAATATCTATTACACAGCAATCATATGAAGTACCTTCATACCTCTGTACTGGCACGCATACATACAATACATAGCAATCATATGAAGTACCTTCATACTTTGTACTGGCACGCATGCCTGTTATCACATACACAGCAATCATATGAAGTACCTTCATACTCTGTACTGGCACGCCATTATACACAGCAATCATATGATGTACCTTCATACTCTGTACTGGCACGCATGCACATACACAGCAATCATATGAAGTACCTTCATACTCTGTACTGGCACGCATGCACATACACAGCAATCATATGAAGTACCTTCATACTCTGTACTGGCACGCACACATACACAGCAATCATATGAAGTACCTTCATACTCTGTACTGGCACGCAAGCACACACATACACAGCAATCATATGAAGTACCTTCATACTCTGTACTGGCACGCATACACATACACAGCAATCATATGAAGTACCTTCATACTCTGTACTGGCACGCACACATACACAGCAATCATATGAAGTACCTTCATACTCTGTACTGGCACGCACACATATTACAGCAATCATATGAAGTACCTTCATACTTTGTACTGGCACATGCACACACATATACAGCAATCATATGAAGTACCTTCATACTCTGTACTGGCACGCACACACATACACAGCAATCATATGAAGTACCTTCATACTCTGTACTGGCACGCACACACATACACAGCAATCATATGAAGTACCTTCATACTCTGTACTGGCACGCATGCACACATACACAGCAATCATATGAAGTACCTTCATACTTTGTACTGGCATGCACACACATACACAGCAATCATATGAAGTACCTTCATACTCTGTACTGGCACGACTTTTACACATACACAGCAATCATATGATGTACCTTCATACTTCTGTAATTGGCACGCATGCACATATACACAGCAATCATATGAAGTACCTTCATACTCTGTACTGGCACGCATACACATACACAGCAATCATATGAAGTACCTTCATACTTCTGTACTGGCACGCTACACACAGCAATCATATGATGTAACCTTCATACTCTGTACTGGCATGCACATACACACACATACACAGCAATCATATGAAGTACCTTCATACTCTGTACTGGCACGCATACACACATACACAGCAATCATATGAAGTACCTTCATACTCTGTACTGGCACGCACATACACAGCAATCATATGATGTACCTTCATACTCTGTACTGGCACGCATGCACATACACAGCAATCATATGAAGTACCTTCATACTCTGTACTGGCACGCATGCACATACACAGCAATCATATGAAGTACCTTCATACTCTGTACTGGCACGCACATACACAGCAATCATATGAAGTACCTTCATACT